CACAGTAGGTCTGTGGGCTTCCAGTGTCAGAACTATCTATTTTTCTGCTCCCCACCCTCTCCCAGTGGCACTGCAAGCATACATATCCCTCTTGACCCCTAAGCAAAATGATGCAGGAACAACTCAACTGTGGTCAGAGGGGAGGAGGACAAGAATGTCCGAAAATGATCAATTATTAACTTTAGAAAACCTAACATGATTTGCCTTGTCACAGCAAGGGATGACAATTACTTAACCAAGGGAAATCTAAAACTACAGATTTTTTGTATTTAAAGAGAAGGAACTGCTTTGTGGCTGGAGAAACAAAACATCTGAAATATATCATGTTTCAGCGCAGGCCTGTAGCAAGAGAGACCATCAGTTGCTACCACTTCCATTAAAATAAATATTTACTTTTAAAAATGTACTTAAATTCATTACAGAGAGTCATTTCACAGTGAACACACTTCAGGGTATTCTTTTCCAGGCTATATTTTAAAAGCCTGCCAAACTGATGTTTGATTGATATGGTTAGAAAGATTTGAGTAATTTTAAAATTACTCAAATCCAAAATTCTCTCTAAATTTTATAGAAACCCTGCATGTTAGTTTAAAATGTAAAATGCTGCAGCCACCCATCCTAACAAGTGCACAGATTTCTGCATAAACCAGCACCGATGGCTCCTTTCTGAAAGCGAGTTGTGTCAGCAAATCATTTGGGCTTTATTATATACTAAAGGTGACTTGTACAGGCATCTCATGAGACCCCTTCCACGTTTATTGTACCACTTGAGCATCTGCTAATAAGAGAGCCCTACAATTATAGGCTGATTGCCCCCAATAGCAAGGGTAAGAAGGGTCATCAGTATACAAATGATTCAAAACCTATTCCTTTACTCTACTGGATCCCACTTCTAATGCTAGGATGTAACATCAATTACAAGTGAAGTCCTCATGGAGAATAAAAACAAGACTCTGAAGGAGGTGAGGGGAATTGGGTAAGTGATCGATTATTGAGATTATCAGCATTCAGCCTGAGAAGCCAAGCCAGATTCTGGACAGAAATCTTTCCCCACAGGCTACCACTGCAGTAGCCCTAATGGTTAAAGCAGCTTTTAGGATGGATTTGGGGATCTCTCCAGCAGCAAACCCTCCAGTTGCTTCCCAATTTCCCATCCCTCCAAAGCAAGGGCAGAATTTGCTCTTACAGTGCAGTTTTTGAATATTTTATACATTAGGAGAAGTTTTCTCCACACTAACCGTTCCACAATGCTCAAAACCATTCAGATGTTTGTGATGTTAATTTTTTTGTTGTGGGTTTTTTTTTTAAAAGTACTAAACCAAACTGCTTTAATGCTTAAGCTTTCAAGGTCAAACAAAACCTTGCAAAATAAAGGAAATGCCAGGCTGTACCTTGTGAAGTCTGGAGGGACAGGAGTAGTGACAAAGGATGCCATAGGCTTCCGGTGAACCTGCTGAAACATCATCAGAATCTCCGAGCTTTTAGATATCAACTCACTCTTACTGCATGATCGTAGCTGAGGAGAAGAAAGCAGATAAATTACAATACCGTTAAAGAAAACCTACAGATTTTGGCTTAATTTTTTAAATGAAGGTGTGTCAATACGAGAGGTAACATCTACTGCAGGTTCACAGAGAAAGATTACAATAGTGCTTTCCATATTGACAGAGAGTTACGTTTGTTAGAGCTTCCTTGGAATTTGTCTTTTTTCAAGGTTGTAAAAAAAAGTGGTGGTGGCAACAAATTGCCATATTGTTCCCATAATTGTTTTTACAAAAAATTAAATAAAATTAAGCCAGTGTTCTCTCTACTCACATGATTTTGAAGGCTCTTGAATCCTAATGTGAGAATTATAGTGCTGTAGTATTTAAACAATTTTAAAGTGTTTTAAAAATTTCATTAGCAGCTACTGTGTACTCAGGTGACTTTTCAGTCTGAAGGTCATAAGTATTTGTACTAGATACAGGTATGTTTGCTTTATCTTGTCACTGCCCCTGGCAAAGTACTATACCAGCTGTGACCTCTGTTATTATGCAGTGTATAGGTGAAACTTAACTAGGCTTTGACATGATTAAGTTTAATCTATTATATATCCCAGTACATTAAGGAGGGTGTTTTACACTTTCCTTCCTTAGTTATTCTGTGGCACTTTCACTGTTAACATAGTTTCATATTCATTTTTCATTCAAATGAGGTTTAAGCCAATATTCAAATCAACTAATCAAAAAGTACATTATCTCACAAAAGAATAACCAGGAATATAAACGTAACCTCCCTTCCTTCAATTCAGCACACAAAGCCAAAATGTTTGAAGCGTGTAATAAAGTGTACCTTTTCAACACTAGATGCCTCAAGTAATAACCACTTCTGAACACAGACAGAAGGAAATAATCTAGTCTTGTGTCCTTTGAACAGCTGGAAACAGACATTTTAAATAGCTACATAGTTGCAAAAATAACTAAATATACTCTATTTCTTCTGTATAATTGAAAGGCAGGAACAGTGGGCCTGAGCTGTAAATGTAAAACTTTCTACCATGCTCAGATAAGAATAAGGATATACATTTTTGATATTACATCAATAAAAAGAATATGAAATTTAAAGCCTCTTGACAACTGGTACACATGTAATGTAACTTTTTTAAGAGTACTAGTAAACCGCAGAAATTTGGGAGATACAGAAACATCTGTCTACTGCTTAAGAATCATGGCTACAGTAAATATTTGAAATAGAACTTAAGTTACCTACCTTTTTTGGGGACATGTTCTTATGGTTCCAGTTCACTATATTTTAATAAGGTCTATACAATACAAAACTGCTTTGCAAAGATGCACATGGACTGAAATCCTTACCACATTAAAAGGGTGAAAAAGGTTAAAAAAAAAAGTCCTCATCTAGAGAGGTCACTCTATAGCAAAAAAGGGTTTTGAAACGTAGTGGAAACAGAAAGAAAATTAAAAAAAAATAGGCCCACATACAACATGTAACAGGATTTGCTGAAGAACACTAGCTGGTGCCTCAGACATGAAAATATGGTTCTGAAAAAAGTTGCCTCAAGTGCAAGGGGAGAATGGCATTTCCAGAACAGGTGGTGAATTTGAGTTAACAACATTCACTGGAACACAGAAAAAAAGAATGCAGGACAGAAGGTTAAGTGCATGCAAAGAAAAGATTTCTTTTTCAGGAGCTTTGAAGATTTTTTTGGCAATTTAAAGCATCAAGCAGTGTCATGAGAGAATTATTACACACAAGGCTTGAAAAATCCATTTGGGAAACACACTAGCTCAGGATAAGCAGGAACTCTTCCAGGATTAAGATCAACTTCTGCAGAATTTAAGCTTTCGCTTACCAAAAATTTCTAACCCTCTGACTCTGAGGGAAAAAAAACAAACAAAAAAAACAACCTTCTAAAAGTGAACTGAGTGGGAAAAAACAACAACAATGCTGTGCCATCTTCCCACAGCTGCCATCTGAGAGCTCCAGAGCCTTTGCTGCATCTCATAACTTTCCAGAACTGCAGAGTGAAAACTGGCCAGTTTTGCTTTTTTTGGTTTTGTTTTAATTATTGCTATTCATAACCTGTGGGCAGCAGTGAAAGTGACAAAAATCAGTCTTGTGCTCCAACCACTAAGCTATGCTAAATAAATGAATAAATTATAAATGCTGTTTCATAACTGCTAATTACTTCTGTACTAGCTATTCAAATGACAAAAGAGATTAAATAGAACCAGGTTGTTCCTGATTTAGAGATAGAAGCCACAGTTTGTTTTTTTAAGGAATTTTGGGTGACCTAAGCCCAATTCAAACCTAATTCTACCTTTCTCATTAATGCATAATTCAGAGAAACAAAAGAGGCAAGTTCATAAAGTGTCTTCCAACATTTTAACTGTGGGGTGGTGGTGTTTTTTGTTTTTTTTTTAAATCACCTGGTGTTCTACTTCCTGTAGCAAGGACTCCAGAAGTTCAGTTTCTTGGGTGAGTGATGTCTTTTGACCTGTTTAAAAGAAATGAGATTTAGTGATCGTGTTTTGTGGTGATGGTTGGGTTTTTTTTTTTTTTTTTTTTTTTTTTAAAGAAGTGAGCCTCCCTTCTGGAGATTGCTCTAAATCTAAGGTAAAGGATTTCTAAATATATCAAGGTTGATGGAGAACACATTTTAAAGGAAGCCTGTTGTTTTAATTAGAGCTGCAGTGAGTGATTCACTTGAGGTTTAAGACATTAATGAAGCATTCTTGGTGTCCCAGAAATGACAGAGGCTTTTGAGAGAAGAGCAGATTTGGATTTCATTGAACTCTCTCTGATCTGACCAAACCTTCTTTTATAACATCTGAAATCTAATTTAAAAATGACTTTTGTAGGCCTTAAACCTTTTAAGGAAAAAATAATTCAACATTGATGTTTAAATATAGTGTTTCAGTATTACAACTACCATTAAGGCTGTGACAAGACAAAGAAGAAAGAAAAAATCAACTCTTATTCTGAGTCTATCACTGGATTTGCTTTTTCTCAAATCACACATTAATTCTTGTACAGGAATCGGAGGTCATTGAAGAAAAGGTGCTATATAAGTGCAAAGTGTTATTCTGTTATTAACCAAATAAAGAGGGAATTCATAAATAGTTTAATGACTGACCTTCAAACACTGAACCACTAAAACAAATTTTGCAGTTGATTGCAGTATTCAGTATGATATGGTTAAGTGCACTCATTGCAGATTTTAACTTAGAAATAGTTTAATTAGAAGAATTTAAGAGGATGTTTTTTTGCTAAAAACCAAGTGATTCTGTTAAAAATCTAGACAGGGTATTACACTTATCATGATTTAGTCTCTATGCAATATAAAAAAATATGGTAGCTTTGAAAAGATGTATTTAATACATTCTATATCCTTTTCCAGTATATAAAGTTCTGATTTTACATTTTCCTCTGAAAAAAAATTCAAATGTCAAGGTAAGTTTTCAGCATAGTTTATTATTATTTATGGTTTGTATTATTGTTGGGCTTAGAGACAGTCCTTATCTCCATGAGTTTCCAGTCTACAGATTTAGTTTTGTATATTGCATGACTAAATCCTTTTAAAAAAAGTGTTCTCATCTCCCCTGTTTCCAAAGAGACTGATATTCCAATTTAGGATAATTATAATATTTAGCTCTTACATAGCAGTTAACAATGGAATGCAAGTATGAACGGAGAAGCTGAGGCAAAGTGATTTGCAAAAAGTCACACAAAGTCAGTGGCAGAGTTGGGAATATAATCCAGGTCTCCTGATTTCCAGTCCAATGTTCTAGCCATTGAACCATGCTGTCTCCAAGAATGAACCTAAGAGTCAATTGTAGAGATGTTTCCAATCTGGGACAAAATATTTCATTTAAAATACAGTTTTATTTAAAAAAACCTAACAACATTATTTACAGAGGGAAACCCAAAGACTGCACTGTAAATTGCTTTGCACATAAGTGGAGTCTTATATACACGTATCTCATGTTTTTTTAATAAGTGTTATACAAGCATCAGTTCCCCTGGGTATACGCTACCTACTTCCCATTTGTAAAAAGGCTAAATAGAGGGAGAGGTTAAATGGCTGGACCAAAGTCAGTGAGAGTCAGGAACAAAACCTAGAAGTTCTGATTCCTCCCTGATACCCTGCTCTCACTACTAGACAATACTTATTTATTTACCAATCTGAAATGCTACTCAGCAGAAATATTCCATACAGAAATAATATTTTTAAAAGTTAGGTTTGGATAGTAGATATCAGAGGTGACAAATTACAGCAATCAGGAAATAGTACTTGGCACTTTACATCTTCGAAGTATTGTACAATCATTAATTGTAGCGAAGTGGTACATGTAATCTGAGTTACCATACAGTAGCTTCATGGAATCAAAACATAGTTACATCTAACAAAATGCATTACATCACAGTAACCCCGCAATTAACTAACGACACTGCTATATTTAGAAGTCTTCTGTCTTCAACTTGAAGCCAGGAAACTGCTGTATGCAGTTTTATGTTTCTAGAAAAAAAAACTTGCCAGAAGATTTAACTTTAGTCTGCTACTTCCACTTACATCAGATAAGATGAATACCTACCCATTAGTGTTATAAGCTTGTTCTTCAGTTGAGTGTCTAATCGGGCAATCATCATCTCCACTGCATTCCTAATTTCCCGAACTCGTTCATCCTTTGCGCTGCGCACTGCCTCTACATTCCTCTCCTAAAGGACAGTTCAGAGGTAACGTACAAAAAGGAATAATCTTCTGTTTTTGTCCATATCTCTGCCTCTCATCATACCCTGTCCATTTCAATGGAATGCTTTTCCCTTGACAAGGATTTGGAAATACAGAGGAGGGGGAAAATATATTATGTAGAACAAAAATAGTTTATGTTTTAACTGTTTGGGAAAACAGGCCTCTATGTAAACTTATCAGCAACTTAAAGGTCAGAAGAGGATTTCACTTTTGCCTATAATTCTCTTCCCCCTTAGTTTTGCTACTATGCAATTAGTGAAATACATTTAGAATTCCTAATTAAAGACATGCCAAAAGCGTTCTTCTCTCTTTGGATAGCCTAGAAAAATTAACTATCAAAACGAAGAATATTGTACACATCCAAAACTGAGTTATTAAGGTATATAGTAAGCCATTTTTGAAACTTTGTAAAAGCTACAGATGCACAGCATAACTGGAAGTGAAACAGCAGAGAATGCAGTTGCCCTCTGGTGGTTGATTGAAGGTTAAACTAAAAAATATATATATTTTTCTCATCATAGACAAACATGTAAGAGACTTGCTATGACAAATTAAACACTCTCTTGGAACTACTTGTTTCTTTTTCTGCACAGGGTATTACATAGAACAAGTACTTTCTTGGGTATAGCATCCATAAGCAGAAAAGGGAAAATGAATGCGCACACAGTTTACTTTACATAGTGCCTTTCATCCTTGAATCATCTCGACCATATACACATACCACAGCACCAAAAAATTTCAGACATCTCTGGGATGAAGGGTTGCTAACTAGCCAGTACGCACACAGCGCAACAAAGAGAAAATTATGACCAAGAGCAACAGGCAAACTCCTTCTCTTACAGTAGTGCAAAGGAGATAGTATACGTCCCTGCGGAGCAAACGGAGCCCTATTTTACTTTCTTTTATACCTTATTCAAAAGGTTTGCACACTAGACTGCATAGAGATCAGTAAAATCTCCCCCAGAACTGAGGGGTTGAATCACCCCACCAGAATTTCACATCTTCAGCTTACACCACTAAAGCCTGGTACTTTTTGTACATGTAACACTATACCAGTTACAGGTGTGTGGGTGCGCTTTTTTACTGATACAATCTTTAGCATGGGCAGAGTTATATTGGTATAAAAGGCGCCATATACCAGTATAGCTCATTCCAAGGCACCCTTATACTCATATAACTGCACTCATGCTATGGGAACTGTACTGCTTTAACTATACCACCTCCTACTTCTCTTATGCTACAGATAACCTGAATATATCAATACATTATACAGTTCTAAGAGGGTGGAAACATTTTCTTACCACTTCTTGCACTAGACTGATCAACTCCATGAGTCGCCTCCGAAGTTTTGCTACCTCCTCATTCACTTTTGTGACATGTTGCTCATAAATTTCAGCTAGTGGCTTAAAAGTATGTCCTCCATGCTATTAAAAGAAAGGATCAACAGAACATCATATTTTAGCTACACTCCACCCCTGTTAAATTAGGAGTTTTTTCCCCTTCTATGGTACCATTCAATGTGGGAAAGATCCAGAGCAGATTGTCTGTAGGAAGTCTGTGTCTTTCACTTCCCTTAGTAACAAGTCTTGGGTCTGGCTTCAGCACCAGAAATGCTTCCTGTGGAGAGCTATTTGGAGGCTGAGCACTCATCCAAAATGAGCCTCAGTATTTACTGTGCAACACTTGGGCTAATTAAATTAGGGGGAAAGAGGTATATGTATTTTGAGCGAATGCGCTAGCAAAAAAATGAGTTAGTGACACTCAACCACTTACATTCCCGAGTATGAGGTGTGTCTGTCTCACTTGGGATGATTTAACTGGTACAGTATGAAATAGTTGGAGATCTGAGGGGCTTATAAAGCTTTGAGTGCCAGCAGGGGATGTCCTCCTTTTGAATATGGGGTAAAGGGATATCAGGCTTAAAAGATTGCTTGTTTGTTTTATTTCTGACCATGTTATAAAAATAGTATTAAGAAATTAAAAATACAGGTTTTTTTTCCCTATGACTTATGCTATTCCCTCCCCCCCTTTTTTAAAAAACAGTATTTAGGTCAACTAGAGATAAAGCCAGTGTGGACAGAACTGGAACCTAACTATTTCAATTTCAGGTTCTTGTGGGCTTTCACAGGGCTGCAGTGCTTTTTAAAAACGTGAAGTGTTTAACAGATTATTCATAATCTGAAGCCTTTGTATCTTGTTCTCCCTTTTTCCTAAAACAGACAATTAATTACTCGATGGATTTTACAACACAGGTACTTTTTCCTACAATAAAAATAAGCTGAATTGTAAAAACAGAACATTTGAAAGTGTCACAAAAATACCTCTCTGTTCTGTGTTTAAAAAAAAAAGGTTTTGTTAACGAGTTTCACTTTTGGGCCAAACATGACTGGAGAGTGCCTCCTCAGTCATTCGGATTTATAACACTTAACAGTGAAGTCTAAGGTAGTTCTTATAGTTGGCCACATTGTGTGAAAGATAAATGAGGGAAAGTGTGTTCTAGTTTCCACTCAGGTTGGTGAAGAGTGAGCAGATGCCTACAGACAGTGTTTCAAAAAAAGAGATGGTTGTTTCTTTTGAATTTAAGACTAGCTTTCAACTACTGAAGATTATTGCCGAGTATGTGCAACACAAATGTAATTTGTGTTACATGATTATGTGAAACATTTATTTTGTTGTGCTAGGAATTCATTGTCACTTTCAGTTTATCTACAATAGTCTTGGTTACTAAATTCATATTCAGGATGGTAATTCTAGCATCTTTCCAGAAGAAGCTTGAACTTGTAACAGGAAACATTATCTAAGTCAAAATTCATAAGACTCATTTGTCCACATACTGTAACTAGAGTATTTTAAAGGTAATTTGAAAACAATACTAACAATTTCATGCCATTGCTTCTGTAATACAATTCAGGCACTACTAAGATCATTTCCTATGCTCCACGTGGACATAACATGCTACAAGCCTTCTACTCACCATTCCTCCCCAGAGAGCACACTGGTGACAGATACATTTCTTACATGTCCAGCAGAATACACTGAGTTTTTCATGATGGTTTTCACACCTTAAAAAAACCAAAAACAGTGATGGGAAATTACATAGTGGTGTGTGGAGTCTGCAAAAGGTTCAGAAGCTTATTTGTTTTGTTGACATGATTTTGAGAGCAAAGCTCAAAATCTAGGCGTTAAAAATGGTTTCCCAATAGCAAAATTAATTAGATGTATTCAAGACTTAAGAGGGCCATGGTGGCCTGGCTTTACTGTAAAGTTTCTATCAGTACCGGACCCAGATGACAGCACACATGGTTCAGGGACTCTCAAAAAATGGTATAATACTTCTTGCCTATATATGGACACTGAATATAGAAAGCTGATTCATGTATCATAAGTCGTCCCAGCCTTCTTCTGCAGTAAGGGTGAAACTAGTCAGTTATAATACTGTCTCCAGGACTCTGTGTAAGATATATACATTCAGATGAATTCTTTGATGACTTTTTGTCAACCTATTTTTACTATAAGAGTATAGAGAAACTAAAACGAATAATTAAAGAAAAAGGACTACTTCTACAGAATGCAACAACAAATTAAACACACAGAAATTCAATATTTCAATGTCTTAGTTTGCATACATTTGACCATCAGATAGTTAAACTAGGAAATGTGACATCTGAAGGGTTGCTTTATATTAGTCTTTAATTGTGGCTTCAACTAGTGCTATCGTTTTCATCAGCTCAATTTTTTTCTTTTTCTGTACCTTTGTTCATGAAAATGGCTGATTTCTGAATCAATGGCAGTGGTTTTAAATATTGTTTTGTCACTACAGTATCCCAGATTCTTGATAGTCTGTAAGCAGGCTTATAAAGCACCATCACAGCAGATCTCTGAATGATGTAAATGAGAAGTCTGCACAAAGATCAAGGATGGAATAGTGCCTTTATGCAGTTCAGAACAGTTACTTACCTTATAGTAACTGTGGTTCTTACAGACAGTTTCTCAGTGTGGACTGCCCTCAAGATACACATGAGGCACACATGCATCTTGAATGGGATCCACACGGACACAGACTTGAAGAACTACTATACTTTGTTATAATTATGAATTATTTTATTGCCTTATTCACCACTGCTCAGTGGGAAAATAGTCTCACTTTGGGGGGGAAAAAACCAAATTGCTATTCCTACCCTTCCTTTTTTCCCCTATCCCCTTCCCATCTTTGTACATCCTCCCTTATTTCCTGCTGTATTCTGCCCATTCTTTGCAGGAACTCTCAATACTGTCCCAATGAGCTTTACTCCAGCACCTTTATCTATTCATGTGCTATCATGATTAGCAATAAAACAAACTGCAAAAATCAGCAATATTATGGAATATTGCAAATTGCAGTTCTCCAAAGGGGGATGCCTTTTTGCTGTGATATTAACACTGTATTCTTCATGCTATTCAAGTATCAGAGAATGCCCGTATCAGAAGATTTAAGAAGCTGATTCACATAGTTTTCTCCACTATATGAAATCCAAGGAGAAATGGCATTTACAAGTGACACTTAAATTGCACAATATATGACCAATAAATCTTAGTTATCCACATCACTGCAAATCCTACATGGAGGGATTTTAGACCATGCATGCCTTAGACCAAATGTCATAGGGGAAATAAATACGTAAAGACTCGTCTAGGCTTATGCACTAGCACACCCAGGAGTCCCTTTAGGTTTCTGAATGCATTATCAGAGGAATCTCTAAAATGCCCTCTTTGCTTTCATCATCTGGTGTCCATATGGTCACTGTGAATGGTTACGAGCCATATGAAAGAGGAACCCTCTTCAATCTTCCCAAGCCCTTCACTCAAAGTATGTTAGGCCAGGCTAATCCAACTGTAATTTTCAAGGTAATAAAAACAGAAAGACCTGTAAAGACTTAGCTTTTAGTGCTACTTACAGAAACTGGTACCATTTCTAGAAATAAATAAATAAAATAATCAACTGCCAAACTCTTACCACCTTTCAGCTGGACAGCATAAAAGGAAGCATACTTACTGACTGCTTCTATTACATGGTAGCACATTTCAGTTTTCAGTACTTAGGAATTACAATCCATTCTCTAATTTTAAGAGAGTGGAATTAAATGTCTGCTGTTTTTGAGACAAACTATAAAATCCTCAAATTTTAGAAGAGTCTATTCTACATACTTGTCTTTTTCATTTTCTTCATGCTTAGTGAGATTGCATAGCTGAAGTGTGTCAAGCTGCTGCGTAACCTCTTCTGCCCAACGACAGTTTACAAGTTCCCGTAGCTGGAGTGGGGCTCTGCAAAATAAATAAATAAAATAAACAAAATGCTAAAGTTAGATTCATAGACTGTAAGGTTGGAAGGGACCATCGTGATCATCTAGTCTGACCTTCATGTTGCAGGCCACAAAACCTCACTCACTCCTGAAATAGACCCCTAGCCTCTGACTGAGTTATTGAAGTCCTCAAATCATGGTTTAAAGACTTCAAGTTACAGAGAAATCACCATTTACACTAGTTTAAACCTGCAAGTGACCCATGCCCCATGCTGCAGAGGAAGGCAAAAAAGCCCCAGATTCAAGAACTCAGTTTCAGGATTTCAAGGTTCTAAAGAACACCAATGAAATGGATTGGCTTTGTCAATTCCACTGTTCTGCTAGGAAACATATGAGTAATAGCAGACACAATAAAGCTGTCGGTCTACAATGCATACGTTCACATTTGAAAGGTTATCTTCAAAACCCATCAGGCTTAGAACTTTAAGGTTTTTGGTTTGTTTGCTTTTAATATAAAGAGCTTACATTCTGAAGAAACTGGTTGCTCACCCACCTCACAAGAAAAAGTGTCTTACTTGCCATTAGGAAGTGGATTTTTTCAAGCTCTGTACTTATGGGACACAAATGTTAAGAATGTGCATGCCGCTTGCCTCTTTGGGCACGCTGCAACAGGTTTATTCCTGGAAATGTCTGTCTCATAGATCTATAGAAAGAGGGTAAATTTCAGTCAGTCTAAAAGCTAGAAGTGTTGTTTGGTCCCTGTGCTGGCCATTCAAGGAGTGACACTGAATAGTTCTGAGAGGAGTCCTGTCCACTTCTTCTGGCTAGATGTGGTTATATCTCTTAAATGGATGGAATAACATGGTGTGGATCACCAAAATTTTACATAGGTCACTCCTGGCCATACTAAAAAAAGATTTAAAAATAATTACTTTGCCAGTTTAGATAAGGCTTCATAGCACATTAAGAACAATCTTCAGAAGAGAAGCTTGTGATACACATGGTATACTTACCGAGACCAACAACAACAACAAAAAAAGAAGAAACTCCACACACCTAATAACCACAAGAAAGCTGACTACAGAGTTATAGTGTATTTTTAATTTGTTAAAAATATCTTACCGACAGTGAGGGCACTGAGCTCTTTGTTCAGTCAGCCAACGCTATAGAAAAAGAGGATAGGCACATTGAGACACACAAGAGAGTTAAAGATATGGAACATTCACACACACTGGTTTCACTTTTGTCTCTTTTATACTATAAGTCATTTTTCCTGTGCCAATCCTCCTGTATTTTTCCCTTATTTACACTCATAATATTAAATTCGTGGGATTTAACTAATACAAGCAATCTCAATTTAACATACAACTATTTTAACCCCCACAAGAAACAGAAGGGGCTTTTTTGGGGTGGGGAGAGTTGATTTAACATCAGTTCTGCTGTTATAGTAAAGGGAGTTTTGAGATGTCTGGCATACCACCAGAAGCCACAGAATCGATCACATAGTCCCATAGTTATACACTAAGGGGCATATTCTAGTAAAAAGCAAAGATATTGCAGGTGTTTCACTCTGCCTCTCCAGTCTAGTTTTCAAGGAACCACATATTCTGCTACTTAGCTAGTCATATAGCTTTCCTTCAGGAGATATTACAATTAATTGATTTATTGACTAGCAATCCAGTAGGCATTGAATGGCAGGGTCGGGAAGATAAACTTCATTAAAAAGGCACATATAGGCCTGGTAGGAACTGGATCACCTTAATATAACCTGCAAATGCAAACTTTAGTGATAAAACTGCTTAACTTATTCAAACTACTATGTCTAAAGTCTCGGATTAAAAACTCCTGTCTGCCAGAGCAAAGTTTCTCAGCCCAGGGGCTATGACCCAAAATTGCGTCACCAGAAAGTGTCAAAGGGTCATGGGGTTGGCTGAACTCAGCTCTCTCTGCTCTGGATGTCGTGATGCGTTGAACAGTGTAGCAGATTTGGCCCACCCCGCCTCTCTGACATGATGACAGAGGGATGGATGGGCCGAATTTGAATGAGGGGCACTGTGACCCCATGCGCCAGGTCACAATGCCCAGAATGGGGAGCTGAGCCCAGCTGGGCCACTAGGACAGGAGCTGGGAGGGTACAGTTGGTGTCAGTCTCCCGTGGATACTTTCCCCTCTCCAAGATAATCCCCTGCCCCACTGCCAGGTGACACCCCATTTTCCATACCCCATCCTGCCCTCCATCCCTTCCAGAATGGGCCTCCCAATGTATCCTTCCCCCACAGCTGAATGACTCCTCCCCATCATACTGACCATCCTAGCCCCTAGCCCCCCAGATCTTCCCTCACTGTACTCGCAGCCCTTTCTGCCCACCAACTCCTTCCCCCAGCCCACCCACTTTTCCCCAAGGACCCCAAATCCTCTTTACTTTCTGCCTCCCATGGGCCATGTGTGGGGTGTGTGTGTTTTCTAAGGAGGTGTTGGCTTGCTGTATCTCCCTCAGACCCCTCCACCCTCATGTCCTTCCTCGTTACACCCCTAGGCTCCCCTGACCTCCCTTTACCCCCAGGACCCCAAATCCCTGCTTTATCCTCCGTGCCCCATGCACCATGTGGGGGGGACTGTTTTTTTGGGTGGGTGTCTCATCTTACCACCCTTCCCCCAAGTTGCCAGTGGGGGATGGGTTGCCCAGCTGTTCACACCTGGCCAAAGTATCTGGAATCTGAACTCTAAACTCCCCCTCAGCAAGGACAGACCACTGGGAGGAGGAGAATTAGGTCTGGGGGCATATCTCAAGGTCATGACAGCCCATCAAGGTTTACAAATGGGTCCTGAGCCCAAAAAAGTTAAGAACCGCTTCCAGAGGGCAACAGTAACCCAACTAGCATCCTTAATGCCTGGTTAGAGTCCTTAATATCTTGATCTATAATCATGTGCACAAGTTACAAGTCAAAGGATGGATTTTCTATTTGCCAGACCCATAAACACTACCCAAGATCTCAAAATTTTCCACCTTCACAAGTCATAGGTCCTACACTCAAAATCATGCTGTAAGTGTTATTGTCAAATACAACAGTAGCGATTGGCTTGGTACTTCAGTGCTCATAATTTTGTGGCAGGCAAAACCATGCCCAAGACTACCCAACTACCCACTCAACAGGCTTCTAGCGTGGTTTCTGAACATGGTGCCAGGCAAACAATTCAGCAGCCATGACTGAAGCCTGTTTTAGTATGGACAGGGCCTCACAAATGACAAAGGTATTATGGCCTAGCAGAACTCTGTACTGCAGGTCTAGGTCTCATTTCCCAGGCAAGCACCACTGAAAAGCCCCTTATGAGATGTTAGAGAAAGGGACTGTTGTATGCTTGTTGCTCAAAAGTGACTCTTCCAGTCAATTAAGCAGTGTTGAGTGATCCAAAAGGGTTGGTCATGGTACAAGTCATAACTTTTACAGGGAGAAACAAGGAGCACAGAGTAAGGAAAGGAAACTCTCAGTGCTCCAACAAGGACACAAGTAAGTTTGCCCTGTAGCTCTTTAGTTAATAATCTATGTATACATAGAAATTAGAAAATAAAATGTGAACTTACCCGAATGCAACTGAAACAACATAGCTTGGAGCAATGTGGACACAGACGTGCATCACGCAACTTTTCCATACAAATAAAACATCGGAACACCTCAGCAATGCTCTGCAAAAAGTTAAGATTCACACCAGTGGTAAGATATACACTTGAATCTTGTTAGATGTTCAGCAGTCAAAGCATCAGATTTAATAACAATAAGTCCTACTCTGCCAGGCTATGGATGACATGTTGGACTTGAATCATGATGGTGGCATGTCCCAAGACAAACAACCATAGATCACACTTTCCCATTTTCTCCTTTTCCATGAACATGCTGTTAGCTCACTTTGTTTTATCACTTTATTTTTTTCCAGCTGTATATGTCTATAGCCAAAAGACACTATTCCCATTTGTATGCGTATGACACTGAATAGCCTGAATGAACAAGCACTCTACACATACAGAAACAGATTCTAAAGCCAGGAGGGCCAATGTGATCAGTGAGTCTGACCTTCTGATAGCACAAGCCATAGGAATTATTGTGGAGAAGTTCTATTTCAACTAGAGCATATTTTTTAGAGAAACATCCAATTACCCTAATTGTTAAAAATGTACACCTTATTTCCAGTCTGAAGTTGCCTAACTACTTACTGTCATTGGATCTTGTTATAATAGCTTGCTGGACCAATTAGCACATTATCAAATATTTGTTCCCCATGTAGGTACTTATAGACTGATCTCACCCTTTAACCTTCCCTTTATTAAGTTAGAAAGCTCCTTAAGTCTATCGCTGTAAGGCATGTTTTTCAATCCTTTAATCATTCTTGTGGCTTTTCACTGAACCATCTCCAATGTATCAACATTCAACTGAATATGAATTGCCAATATGATTCTGGGGTGTATTAACAAGAGTGTTGTATGTAAGACATGGGAGGTAATTTTCCGGCTCTACTCAGAACTGCTGAGGCCCCAGCTGGAGTACCGTGTCCAATTCTGGGCACCACAATTTAGGAAGGAGGTGGACAAATTGGAAAGAATCCAGAGGACAGCTCAAAAATCACTTATTCCAGAGTAACTATAGCTGAATAGTTAATCTGTTAGAGCTATGATGGTCAATTTCCCAGTGTACATAAGCCCTTATATCTCCTATCTAAACTAAACAATCTCAATCTTCTCATTCTCTCCTTAAATAAACCTTTCCATACCTCAAAACACTTGTCTCCTATCTCTGAAATCTTATCGTTGCTATAATTTTTGAGAAAAGGTGACCATAACTGAATACAGTATTTCAGATGAGGGCAACCTTTTATTTATTTATACAAGTGGCATAATAATATTTTCTGTATTTCCTATACTATAATATTGTTTGTTTCCTATTACTACACACTGAGCTGATGTTTTTTCACGAAAACTGTCCACAATGGTGTTTGGACCTTTTTCTTGTGTGGTTACAACTAATATAGCAGCAGAGTGTCTAATGAATTCCAATTACTCCTTCCAATGTGCATTTTACCTTTCACATGTCAAAACTAAGGTTAATCAGGCATCATGCTCTCCATTCCTAGCTTCGTTATGAGTCTCTGAAGTTCTTCAAATCTTCTCTAACCTAGACTAACCTACATAATTTTGCGTCACCTGCATTTTTTTGTCGTTTTCACTGCTCACTCCCTTTTTCAGATCATTAATGCATATGTTAAACCCCAAGTCTCAGTACAGAACCTTGTGGCACCCAGCCATTGCCTTGTGACATGCTGAAAAACACCCACTTACACCTATACTTTGTTTTCTGCCTCTCGGGCAATACCTTACAGCACTGTTTGACCTCTCACCCCACAACTACTCCTGGTACGTCTACATTACAAGCACGATGGTGACACAGCTGCAGTTATGCCGCCGTAGTGTAGACACTTGCTACAGACAGAAGAGTTTTTTTCTGTTGCTGTAGCAAATCCATCTGCTCAAGAGACTGTAGCTAGTCAATGAAAAAATTCTTCCGTTGAGCCAGTGGTGGTGACACTGCAGCTTATATCAGCCTCACTTCACCTCTCAGGGGTGCGAAATGAGAGGACAATTCACACCCCCTGAGCGCCATAGCTAGGTCAACTTATGTTTTTGGGTAGAGGCCAGGCCCTAGTCTCCTGATTCTCTAGCAAGGGGCTCTGTGGGAGGCTTTCTGGAAGCCCACACATCAGCCACCTGTTCTCCCTTCCCCAAGGCTGATGCACAGACCACCCTAGCGGGTGGGCGAGGCCCAACTTTCCTGTGCAGCCAGCCGAGGGGGCCAGCACCGTTTCGACCAGCGAGACCTGGCAGCAGAGCGCGGCTCACCTCGACCTGCCGCACAAGGGACCAGGGCCGCACAGGGAGCCGGGGCGAACCCAGGCGTCCTGGCACCCCTCCCCCCCAGCTCGGGCGAAGGCGGCCTCCCGCCGGTGCCCAGCAGCGAGGGGAGCCGGGCCCGTCCCGCCCCAGCAGGTGGCTGCTGCCCATCCCCTCACCTCCACGCTCTGCTCGTCCATGGCCTCGGCTCTCCCGGCGCCCGCCCGGAGCGGGGAGGCTCCCCAGCGCCCCGGGGAGCAGGTCCCGGCCGCAGCCCCTGCGGGAGAGAAAGAGCGTAAGGAGCCGCGGGGGAGAGGCTGCTCCTCACCGGCCCGGCTCCCTCCGCAGCGCCCCGGACCCGCTAGCTACCGGCCATGTTCGCCCAGGGGGTCGGGGCGCCGGCGGCTCCGCCCTCAGCTCGGCCTCCCGCCTGCCCGCCCTGCGGCTGAGGGAGCCGGGCCCCTCCCTCACGTGACCTGCCCAGCCTCAGTGCGCAGGCGCTGCAGGGGCCTGGGCGCTGCCTTGGGCGCGCTGGGGTGGAGCATCCGCAAAGGGTGCAGTCCCCGCCCCCTCCACCTGCTGAGGCTGCAGCATCTGCAGAGCGTCAGCCCCCCCCCCTTCTCCCACTGCTGCAGCATCCGCAGAGGATGCAACCTCCCACCACCTGCTGAGAATGCAGCATCAGCACAGGGTACAGGTTCCCCTCCCACCCTCCTCTTTCATTACAAATTAAGGACAAGATACAGCCCCCTTCTCTTCTCCCACGGCTGGAGGTTGCAGCATCCACAGAGAGCGTAACCCCCTCTCCCCACACGGCTGCAGCATTAGGGAGAAGATTGTAACCCTGGCCCAGTTTTGCAGGCTGGTAAATAAGCTTTCAATCTCCCCTCCTTATTCCGCAGGCAGTAGCGTCGGCAACTTGCACCATCTTTGGCCCCAGCCTGCAATCTCACTGGAGCCAGGAAGAGGATACTGGCCTAGTTTGCAACAGTAGCACTGGCCTGGCTACCGCACATTTAGTCCATGCAAAAAGGGATTTTAAAAATGTTTCTCAGAAAGGCTTGAGCGCCTCACTACAGCACCCATCAGGAAAAAAATATAAAAACCAATGTAAAATTGTAGAGGTCTCCCTGCAAGTCATTACTGGTGATTAACAGGTCAGACAATCACTAGGCAGGATGATATGGCCTCCATTGTATCTACTGTCCCCTGCATCGTGCTATAGAAAAATAGAAATTGAGATAGAAAGTAACATGCTAGTACTTATACATGCTAGTACTGCTACCAGTAGGAAAGACTTGGCTTCTCTTTTTAAACCTCCTTCCGTCTGCTGACTATTGCAAGATTGATTGTTCCCTACAGTAGTTGTGAATGCTCTATCCATTCCCGATTTTCAAAATGGCAACTGCAAGGGTTTCCTGACGTAGACTATTTCACATCCAGCATGATCTCACACTCCTGTAAGAGTGTCTTGCACTCTTCAATAGGGTTCAATAGGGATACTGAGTTTCAAACCTGTAATGTGAGAGTTGATGGTGGTACAGACTGGGCATCTTCTTACATTCTCTGAAAGCATCAGGGCTGAGAGCAGAGGCTCCTTTGCCCCATTTAAAATTTGTCAGTAAAGTAAGTTTGAAGTACAGTTTGTGAAAACTAGATGGTTCCTTTGAACATTTTATTATTGTTTAATGTAAGCAGATTTATGTTTAAAAGGGCTTTCTCACTATTCCAACTATTCCAGTTCTATGTCTATGATAAAAGTAACATTTTAAAAACACATCGGGCCCTGTAAATGTATTAAACATTTACATTACTGTAGCCCTCAAATGCCCTATCTGGAATCTCTCCCCCCCCCCCGCCTCCAACACTATACACACAGATTAAAGGGCACCATTTTCAGAAGTATTGAGCATAAGCAGCCCCCATTGATTTCTATTGGAGTTAAGGGTGCTCAGGTCCTCTGAAAAATTCAGCCCATGACATCATCTCTGCTCCCAGTAGCTTAAAGTGTCAATATTGCCAACTCTTACAATATTGGGGATTTTTGTAAAATCCCCAAATCCTGCAATTATGTGATTAAAACAAACAAACAAACAAACAAACAAAAACCACACACACACAAAAAAAGTGTGATTGTTACCTAAAATAGTTTCTAGGGCTCAGAATTGCAAAGAAAAGCTTTAAAAGCTAATAAAAACCCACAGATGGGAAATAAAAATAACTCAGTATTATTTATTGAAATCATGACAGGTATACCAATTTAATATTTTTGGGGGCCCCAAAAATGATTTTTAATACCTATAGTTGCCATTATTAATAATCACCCCCTCACATACCTGCCAGATTCACAGCTGAGTGTTCTGTTGCCCTGCTACAGTTGATGACATCACTAACTCCTAAACAAGTTTAAATACAGTTCCCTGTAGATGCTGCAACTCCACACACATTTCTGAACATATGTTTCTTCAAAGTAGGGATTTGAGCTTCATTTTAGACCTTTACTATGTGCCAGCAACCCTAGTGAGTTTCTGCAACTGCAGGAAGCAGTTATTGTTAGGCCTTAGTCCTAGTTCTAAGAATCCTAAACTCTGTTGTCTTAAACTTTGTCTACATTAGCAGAGTAGCTTGTTGCTAACGGTGGGTTTCAGCAACAGTTGCAACCAAATCAACACTAAACACAATTTAGCTGCAAGGACAGAGACATACTTTCAGAATTTAACCAATTTCTAAAGTGGCCATGCAGATGGTTTATCTTTAGCTACATTTGCCTTTAAATCACACTCTGCACCATTTCAGATGCAGTGTTGCCTACCCCCAATCAATCACTCATGTCACTTCATCCAAGTGACAAGCAATTTAATCTTTACCATTCCAGAAGAGAGGGAGAGCAAAGCAGCCTGACTCTAGAACAGAAAGTGACTGACAGTTTTGATTTAACCAAGCATAATCTTTTGTTTATCAGTTTGTGAAGTGAGTTCATCTCAAATTAAAAATAAAAATAAAAATGTGGAGTATTCTAATTGTTTGATTTCTGCATGTAATCTAAACTGGGAAGGTTTATAAAAAGATAGCAATCTGGTGGTTGCTATGCTATGCTTGCCACAATAGCTTGAATCAGAAACCAAGTAATTCTTTTATTGCACAGTTTAACCATGTGGTTTGACTGTAATACAAAAAAAACTGCATAGGTTAAGGGAAATTTAGTAGTTGTGAAGAGAAAAAGCTTCTCAGCTGAGCAAGCAGTTCATGTTCTGGTATTCTCTTAAAAAAAAAAAAAAAGAGATTTAATGCATCAGTAGCCTCCCCTTCTGATGTTTATAGTTGTCCCTCAGAATGTTTGTTATTATGGTTGTCCAGGCAACCTAATTAAAAAGTCAACTTGAAGCAGAATAGAATTTGGTACAGTAAAAAGATCACTATTTTCTTCTTTTTATGTTTTATGAAAAAGCACATTCAATTGTACATTACACTATCGGAACAATGAATTTGAAATAAATAATTAGAATAAGGACATTTACTTTGAAATTCACAATAGTTGCTCAGATATCTACATATTGTTTCTTATGTTAATTATTTCAGAGTGCAATAAATATTTATGGACTAACTGTAGTATACAATGACTAATATTTTATATAATACTATGTAAAAGCTGCAGTACCTGTACTATGTGCCACTTAGTTTTCTGGGTAGAGTTTAAGGAGCAGGTCCATAGATAGTAATTGTAATTGCTTTTCAAGAAACCTAGAGTACAGGAGAGGTTCTTTTATTTTGTATTTTTTAAGTGCATATACTGAAATAAAATAACTGATCACTACCAGCCAGTGAAATGGGCCATTGAAATTACTATGATTGCAAGCTTGTGAAACAGCAAATTTCCTATAATTTTAAAATACTTTTTTCCATTTATCACTATTTGAACTCATAGTATGTTCATGCATTTCCCTTAAAAAAAAAGCATATATGAAAACACAAATATATTGCAACAGTGTGTGAACATATCTAGAGAAACAATTATCTTCAAAAAAATCAAATCCTATAGGAAGTTTTTGTACGTACTATTCCAGGATGTATTTTACCTTATTACAGAAGAGTCATGTGACAGTAGCCACTCCATCTCAGAGTAAGACAAAAGCATCAGCTGTTTGTAATCTGGATGTCCAGAGATACATGTGGCTGCCAGCAACAAAACTTTTCTGTCTTTTATGCGTCTCTCAATACGTCAGGTTTTTGAGCTACACGAATACTAAAAATGTTACAGCTTGCTATTTATCCACAGTGCAAACTAAGATAAAACAACTCCCTTCTGCCAGTTCAGTATGAAGACAAACATTCCATAAACAGTAACTTTATTGGAAACTATTCATTTAATTTGTACTTAAATTATGTCAATCCATATTCCTTTAAAAATGAACAAAAATGATTTCACAAGGAAATGTTAAGAAAATGAAAGAGTCGAAATTATTCCACTTTCTACAATATCAGTTCACAAGCTCAAAAAGGAAGCACATACTCTAGCATTTTCCAAATACTTAATTCAATGGTTCTTATTACACTCGCTGATAAGTTATTCAGTGTGTTGATTTTTAGAATATTCAAAACAAAGGTGAATTCCATAGTTGCCTTTGGAGAGCTTTTCCCCAGCAGATCTAACTAAGTTTCTGGCCACCTACTGTACGTAAATTGTTATTACAGTAGAACCTCAGAGTTATGAACACCAGAGTTACAAACTGACCAGTCAACCACACACCTTGTTTGGAACTGGAAGTACACAATCAGGTAGCAGCAGAGACACACACACACACACAGCAAATATAGTACAGTACTGTGTTAATGTAAACTGCTAAACAATAAAGGGAAAGTAACATTTTTCTTCTGCACAGTAAAGTTTCAAAGCTGTATTAAGTCAATGTTCAGTTGTAAACTTTTGAAAGAACCATAATGTTTTGTTCAGTTATGAATATTTCAGAGTTACAAACAACCTCTATTTGTGGGGGTTCGTAACTCTGAGGTTCTACTGTAGTTTTAACTGCACTGCATTTTTGCAAGATGCCTAGAAATACATTGGTGAACAAACAATGTTATTACAAAACAGACTAGCATTCCTCAGGAAGCTTGTTGTTTTAAAAACAAAATCTACAAATTATGAACAGTTGGTGTGCAAGTAATCCACTACATCCATTTAAAAACATTAAGTATGAAGTTTAGACAGTAAAACTTGCCACAAGGACTTATAGATGTAAATGCTCTAAATGCTTCCAGAAATTATGCCTTGGTCCTGTGACTTCGATACAGCAGACGAAACATGCCAAGAATTAATCATCTTTTAATAGTGACTATGGGTCTAATCCAACTTCCATTAATGTCAACTGAAAGATTCCCATTGACTTAAGTGGGAGTTGCATATAGTCCTATGACAAAGAGGAAACAAAAGGCCCAATCTTGCAAGCCCTCCATATTCAGAACTCACTGAAATCAATGGGAGGTCTGTACAGGAAGGATTTGTGGGACTGGGTCCAGAGCAAGGATGTGGAGAGAAAAGCAAATAGAAGAATTAAAATAATTTACAAAATGACCAATACAAACATGAAAAGTACAAATATGAGAGGAAAAGGTTTGATGGAAATTAATTACAAAAAAGGTAAGTACTGAGGACCCCTGTTCCAAGCACATCCAGCATTCCAGCATGGATGTGCTTCTTTGTGTGTATTTTTGCCTATATATATACACACACACACACACACACACACACATACATACACACATATACATACAGACAAAGAAGCACATCCATCATCTTCCACTAGTATTGCTGTAATTTGTTTTTTATAGCATCGTATAATATGGATGTGGTATTATAATTTGGTCAGTGTTCAATCTCATTTCTTATTACTACATAAAACACCAGCCAAATAGCTTGCTGAGTAGAGTATTCTTTGATTGGTGTTGAAGTCGCAGCCTTATTTTGAGTGGAGCTGATGGGAACAAATTTTAGATATTTTCACATGCACAAACACCAAACAAACCCACACAACCCACCATCTATTTGTTCAGTGCAAAGAACATGCAATATTCCAAACTAGTTGTGGATTTGGCATTTCAGCTCTTATAACATACTAGATATCTGAAAAGGGTAATACAATTCCTTGGTCAGTGTATTTTTGCAACAGATTCTGCAGCTGTGGAACTCTGGACAGTTGCTTTTACTGCAGCAGGAAGTGGTCCCTAGAGAATTTATAGGGCTCTGGATTTACAAAAACTGTCCTCAGTCCTCTCTGTTTAAAAATAAAACCTTAAGGAAAAAAAAATTTACAGAATCTTGAGAAAGTCAGGTGGCATTTCCTTGCCAATAGTTATGGAGCCAATAAGCCTAGCTATCACCTGCAAAAAGAGCAGCCCGAAAAGCTGGAATCAGTGGTTGGCGTACAAGAGAGATGTAGTTTGCATGATTCACTTGATATTATGTAGAACTGCAACAGGCCTAGCGGTACCATGGCAGGCTTTAACTAGTTCTATCATTTTTTCTTATTCGTATGAATGCTAAACATTTTAAAAAGACATTCTGGAATGGTGACTAAAGTCAGGCCATTGACTTATAAATGGTTACGGAAATCAGTTATTGGGAGATTCAGAAGGTAAGCTGAAATTTCCTGCAATACCCTGTACAAACTTTATTGAATTAAGTTTTAGTGTTTTAGGAGTTTATTGTATTACAAATGTATGTAACGCTTCTAGGGATAGGGTGACCAGACAACAAGTGTGAAAAATCAGGATGGGAGTGGGGGGTAATAGGAGCCTATATAAGAAAAAGACCCAAAAATCGGGACTGTCCCTATAAAATCGGGACATCTGGTCACCCTATCTAGGGAGGAGACCTGATCAATGTAAACCCTGGGAAGTGCTATCAGTTTCAAAAGAGTGATTTGAAACAAAGTGAATTTATAAAAAGTTAAGTGGGTTTCCTTGAGAAACTTGTGGGGGAAAGAGAATGCAAATTCCTCACCTTCAGACTCAGCCTTTTGAAGTTACAACTTGAGGAGAAACCCATTGTCTTACTGATTACCTATTCACTGTCTAAGATCAAAGAGCCAAACCATATAAAGAAGAGACTCTCAGACTCATAAGTGTGCTTGTTCTGAACTACCATGGAAAACCCCTTGGGGTGGGGTTTGAAGGACTAATCATCTGCCAAAGCCATTGCTGGAGTAGGGGTATGCTCTGGTAAGCTTATTAGTATGCGTGTAGGTTCTTTTATTGATTTGGTAAGTTCTCTGTAATGCTTTTACCTTAAGAATAACTGTGCTTACTTAGAAAGAGCTGTATAGTAACTTAACTGTGGGCAATCACACGGATTATAGACTCTGAAAAGAAGGCAAAGCAAACCTGCTTAGGCGGTCGGTCTTGTGGGGAAATTCACAGTGTAGGCAGGGAACTGTGCAGCCTGGAAATATCCTTGTCAGGAGGAAGTAAGATGAGTGTCTCCGTCCAGGACAGGTAACAGCTGAGGAACCAGAAGCCTAAAAGTGGGTGCCTTTGCTGGACCACTGATGGGGAATACATGGCCAATTGCCCTGAACTGTGACCTACAAAGTACTAAAACTTTTATAGCCTACTTGGCTTTCATATCACTTACTCAGGAATCCAAGTAGAAGGAAAAATTTGTTGGTTAGATGCCATTAATTCCCTCGCAGGAAAACAAGTACTGACACATGACGGAGTTAAAAACGTGATTCTGTCCACTATCTCCTACAAATCTTAAAAACAAAGTAGTTTACAAAACTTGTTATATGGTTTTTAATTCACAATTCGGTATTACAAAGAGAATCCTAATACAGTCACATTAACAACAAATTTTCACATGCATCATTTTTATAAACAGAGAACTATTTGCCTTCCAATACGCCAGGAGCTGCACCCAAATTCCTTTTATCAAAATATGATTAGTTCATTTAGGCTTAAATTTACACAGTTAACTTAGCATTTCCTTGTTTGTCAATTTCTACAATGGAAAGTTCTTTCAGGATTTGTAGCCTGGAATTGGTGGCTTTCATATTCATCTTGTTCATCTGTGCAACACTCAATGCTGCTCTGCAAGACAAGAGCAAACTATTCAGCAAAGTATTTACTGAAATCTGAAAAGACAGAGCCCAGGTTCTTCTCATAAATGTTGCTCCACATCTTAAGCCAGGTCTACACTAGACACTTTCCCTGATATAGCAATGTCAGTTAGGGGTGGGTGGGTATGTATGTATGTATGTATGTATGTATGTATGTATGTATGTATGTATGTGAGACAGGGTAGAGGGTTTGTAACAATTTTATACTGGCAAAAACCCTAATGTAGACACAGTTATCCCAATGTAAAAGTATTTTTATAGGTATAGCTTATTTAGCTTGTCAAACTGGAAAAAGGCATACTGGCAAAAGCATTTTTAAACCAATAAGCTGCAACCACACTAAGAGGTTTTACTGGTATAGCTATACCTACAAATCTTTTCTATCATAGATATTTAAGGCCAGGTCTAAACTAAATTAAACAATTTATTTCTGTTGAACCTGCTGTTTAATTTTGCTAAAATATGAGTAAAGATAATTGATATTTTCATTTAACCCAACCCTACTCAAATAAGGAGTGTGGATGGGGGGAGGGAATATGATGACTACAATATGACAACTCCAGACTTAGTTGCTGTTTGGTTTCAAAAAAAGCCTACATTAAGTTATGATTTATCAGTCACACCAATGAACTATTAAAAATTAAAGGCTTGAAAACCAATAATGATATATTCTTTCAATTCTTACCTGTTCCCATTTAGAACAAAGTAGTTAAATAATTCCCTGTAAAAGCTGTTCAGGTCCACTAATTTAACAGTACTTCTGATAATCCTTGGTACAGCCATAAACATCTCCTTAGTCACGGGTTTGAAGTGTGGTTCTAGTAATTTTAAAATAAAAATTACTCAAAAATATACACAGATAAAGTTACGGTTACTCGAATATTTAGAAGTGCTCATGTAATACTGCCTACATCGAATATTAAACTGCTGCAATACCTAATTTATATAAGTTTTGCTCAGCACTGACGTTGGAAAGCTGGAAGACTGGTGAAAGGCAGATCTTCCCATGTAGCAACTATAACAGTTACATGAATACTGTTCTGAACATAATTGTTGGAAGCAGTCATCCTTGCTGAAAAGTGACATTTATTTACTGGCATGTTCATCACTATGCATATGCAATATCAAACATATAGAATGTAATTTTCCATTTGGTTTTAATCTCAGCAACCCAATGCTTGCCAGAAGTAGATTCAAGAGTATCAATCCTTGTTAACCACCAACCCCTCAAGTACATCACAATTTCTACACAGTAATGTGCAGTTCTCAGCATTTGAGCTGTAGCATTCAGAGTGATGTGCTGAGCAAAATAGGTAATTTCTTTGATAATAAATCATGGAAGTGGAAGAATAAAATTTTTAAAATACAAAATACAGATTTTTTTATTTTTTTATTTTTTAAATCAGTGAAGCACATCTTTCTAGCCTGGCAAGTTCCTGTAGGACCATCAAAGGAGTCCTGAAGATTATAGTTTTACCCACTTTAGATACCTCTGGTGGCCAGGCACCAAATAGCCTTCTCCCAGCCAAGAAAGAATAAACAGTGTTCCTCCCAGAACCCTTAAAGGACACTCTTAAATGGTCTTTCCCCCCCAGGCTTGTGTAACACCTCCAGAGTGCTAAGGCTCTTACTGGCCTGGGGAGAAAGTAGGTATGTATGGAAACCTAATATGGGTCTATCAATTTGGTATAACAAGAGGCTACCAAGAGATCACTGGGAAAAACCCTGTTATAAATAATCATGTCTGGACGAAGCAATGATTATTCCCATATTAAAAGACTAACACTGTCTTTTTAAACTATAAGACAATTTCAGATTTAGGACCAGTTTTCAGTCCTGGCATAACTCCCAATGAAGTAAATAGGAGTTGTACCCCTCAGTCTCTTACATTAAAGCAGTGGTTCCCAAACTTGTTCTGCCGCTTGTGCAAGGAAAGCCCCTGGCAGGTCGGGCCGGTTTGTGTACCTGCCGCGTCGGCAGGTTCAGCCGATCGCGGCTCCCCGTGGCTGCGGTTCGCTGCTACAGGCCAAAGGGAGCTGCTGGAAGCGGTGCGGGCCGACGGACATACTGGCCGCCGCTTCCACCAGCTCCCATTGGCCTGGAGCAGCAAACCATGGCCACTGGAAGCCACGATCGGCTGACCTGCCAACGCGGCAGGTACACAAACCGGCCCGGCCCGCCAGGGGCTTTCTCTGCACAAGCGGCGGAACAAGTTTGGGAACCACTGCTTTAAAGTACATACTCTCCAGTGGATGTCAAAAACTAGTTACTAACATCTGTGTTCATTTATTTTATAACTACAGTAAATTAACTGTTTACTTCAGGCACTAAGTTCTACAGACAGCTCAGACCAAACAACTTTGGGCCTGATCCTGTTTCCCCCAGAAGTGAATGGGAGTTTTGCCATCAGTGGTAGTTGGAGCAAGAATGGGCCTTTTTACCTCAGTTAAAATTATTTGCAAGGCCTTACTTTCAGAAACTGAAGCAGATTTATCCAACTATCCCTTGTTAATGAGGATTATAATTAAGGATAAGAGATTGTCACAGAAGTCATGGAAGCCACAGATTCCATGACTTTCAGAGACCTCCGTAACATTTTCTGCTGCAGGTTCAGCCCTGGGGTGGTGAGGCCAGAGCTGTCAGCAGGCAGGGGCCCTGGAGCTGTCAGCTGCCACAGGTGATGGGGTCCCTGGAGCTGTCAGCTGCTGTAGTGGGGAGTACTGGAGACCCCTCCGCAGCAGGGCTCAGGCTCTCATCCCCCCAGCAGGGCTTGGGCTTCAGTCATCCCCCATCAGTCCCCCTCCCTCACACCCATTATTTTTAGTAAAAGTCAGACAGGTCACAGGTTTCCATGAGTTTTTGTTTATTGCCTGCAACCTGTCCATGACTTTTACTAAAAATAACTGACAAAATCTTAAGGTTAACTGTAATTGTAAGATATATTTGAATATATCAAGTTCAATATTTAGGACATCAATATGTATCTTAAGAGTATACTGACATTGTTAGTGTATTTCATTGTGGGCCTACATTATTAAATTTAAGGCTAGTATCCAAAAAACTCCAAATTTTTAAAATATCTATTATACATACACATGCACTTCATTATGGGCATATTATATATGTATTTAAAAAGTTGGGTTTTTTTATGCTAACCTTGACTTTCACAATATATAGGTCCACAATGAAATACACTAATAATGTCAATATACTCTTAAGATACATATTGATGTCCTAAATATTGAACTTGGTATGTTTGAGTATCTTACAATTAAGGTTACCCACCCATCGAGAGAGAGAGAGAGACAGACAGACAGACACGTTTAGCAACCAGAAAAAAATAAAGAGTGTTAATGCTCAGAAAAGGAAGCTGATTTCTGTGAAGCAGTAGAGGGGGTTGTCACTTACCCCCATCTGGAATAGGAACTGTAGACACCGAACACAGTGGCTAAAAATAAACAGAATATGACATCAAGTTTCATATATACTGTGCTACAATTGTGAAGTTGTAGCTGTAGTTTTTAACTAACCGTTACCAATATAGAAATATGGCAGATTGTTGGCAATTAATTGCCAAGGAATTGATATGGTAGAATTCCTAGGCATTAAGTGTATGCTTCCTTGTGAGTTACCATACTAGCTACTAGTCAGCATGCAGAAATCCTAGTGCCAAACAGATAAGATAGATAGAGAGGGGGGAACCTAGACTTAAATCATATTTGTAATAATGTAACAAAGACCCTGACTAACTCTTTGCTGATATTTGTTGTTTAATACCATAAAAAGTCTTCGTTATGATTGGTTTTATGGCAGAAATCCTGAGTTTCTGCCTAAAAGTGTTAGACCTCTTTAGTTTCATATTATATTCCATCAGCATTGTAATGTGGTTAAGTTATTCTTAGCCAGTTTTCAAATTACATTTAATATTTAACAGGAAATTAGAATAATTTTCCATATTTATAGGCATTTGACTCAAGTAATTATGCTCTTCATTCCCACCCCAAAGATTTAGTAGCTATTCTACTAATAGCTGAATGATCTGACAGAGCACTTGTGACAAGAAACTGATCAACCAAAACGGAATACTCTTCTGAAGTCAAGGTATTGTTCATGTTTGTTTTGCACACTAGATGTGATCTAAAGCAGCATGATTTACCCATCCTTTAGTACTTTAAAATATATGCTACCATATAAATGCAAAGATGTCACCGTTTTCTTAGTAAACGGTAAGAGGTTAAAGTTTCTTTTCCAAAACAAAATTTTCTTGAACAAAACTTTTCCTGGGGGAGGGAAAGAGGAGAATGACCAAACAAAACATTTGTGCAATAAACTGGAAAAGTAAAAAAAGTGAAACTATTTCAGGGCACAGTCCTGAAAACCGTTAGTCAAGTGAGCAGTCCTAATTCACACAAATAGTCCCACTGACTTCACGGAGATTACTCAGGAGTAAGGGGCTTGCAGAATCAAGCCATATAAAGCCACAATTACCTCTTCCATTGGTGGATCTGTTCCTTTAACAGTTTTACACGCTAACTGTTGTTCTGCACTCTGTTCTTCTTCAGACAGAGGTGAAAGCTAGGGGAAAAAAGAAACTGCTATTTTCACACTTGCGGTGGGATTTTCAGAAGTACTCTGTTTGCTTAAACCTTTTCCCATTTAAAACTATGATAAACTCCCATTAAATTCAATGGGAGAAGAGTTAGGGGCTGAGTGTTTCTGAAAATCCCAACATTAAACTCATGTTCAAACTCCAAATAAAATCTACTCATAGTATTCCAATGTTAATCTATAGTTCTAACATCTGAAAAATAAGTGTTCCATTTAAAAAAATTTCTAATCCCTTCTTTTAAATTGTTTCATCAGTCTCTGCTATAGTAAGTATAGAGATGGCTACAAACAAATATACAAACTACTGGCTGAAAACTTGTTGCCTAATCCTCCTTGGCACAAGTAAGTGGCTTATGACTTTACCACTTCACCCCAGGACAGAAATCTATAAAATTATTCTCAACATGCTACTTGGCAGCATAACATTGGCACAAATGGAGAGGAAAGGTAATTGTATTTGACCGTCAGGGAAACTGCCATTTTTTTAAATAACGAGAAGGCATAACTTTATATATAAATATAAAAGTAACAGTCACAATGTTTGGTTAGGGACACTGTCAGATTAAATATAATATTTTGAGAGAGGCAGTGCCATCCAGTCAGTGTACTGAACACAGGGCTGGGATCCAGGAATATCTTAGTTTAACATTCTCTGTTTGATGTTGGGCTTGTCACTTAACTTCTCTAGGTTTAACCTTCCCTGTCCGTAAAGTAACAATAAGAGGGTTTCTAAGGATTAAGTAGTCAGTGTTTGCACAGCACTTAGAAACACAAGGAAACTTTTTAAAATATGATCATGCTTATAAAAGCTTTTCATTTTCTAACATCTGAGACTATTAAAATTTAAAATAATTTTAGACTGTTCACAATTTATATTTACCACCACTCAGACAGTGAAAATAGATTAGTCATTTTCAGTTTTCTTTACAGTCAGTTTCCACTTTCTACCTGGCAGCTTTCAAGATAATAGATAACACTTGAAAGATCAGTTTAAAAATTGGGATTTAATTCAGTGTCTGAGACATCAATTTCCATCAAACTAGTCAGAGACATGGGGTATGAATCACCATTGTGTTACTCCATCTTGAAATCAATGGAATTCCACCAGAATTACCTTGGATTACCACAATGGTGAATCAGACCTGTGAGTTCAATAATGGGCACAGTCCCAGAAACCTTAATTAATGTGAGTAGCCCCAATGACTTCAATAGCGCTGCTCAAATGCAAAAGCATTTTTAGGATTGAGTATATTATATTGAGCTGTTACTTCAGTAATGTGAAATATCAGATCTCTCAACAGAAAACGTAAGAAAATTTTCCACACACACAAAAAAAAGAAAATCTAACCCCTGTTCCAGTAACATTTTTGTACATACATGTTTATTCTTGATTTCAAAGGAACTACTCCCATCCATAAGGTTACATGTGTGCATTTACAGGACTGGGGCCCATATTAGTAAACTGAAAACATTACCTCAAGATCAGCGTGTCGCTGTAGTGCCTGCACCATCTTCATAGTGTTTTCTAGAGTAGCATGAATACAGCTCATAGATTCTCTTTGCTCTTTGGAAATTTCTTCCAGCTGTGCACATAACATTTTATAACGTGACTTCACTACTGAGAGTTTCTCTAAGAGAGTCACTGGATTTTCCTACATCAAGGTGAAAAAGTACATTTAAACTAGCAAGACATTAGAAAGATGATCAATTTGGCTACACAAGACTAAACATAGGATTAGATATTCCCAAAATATATGGCAACTAGAACTGTTAAAAAAAAAAAAAAAAGAATTGAAAGAGACACTTTGTCAGTTAAGTGCTTCCACTATAATCAGTAGCGCATTACCTATAAAATGACATCTTTCATGTTTTGGAAAGTCTTACTTCATCTACCCATACCACATGATAACTTTTCATAGGCAAACATAAATAGTAATAAGCCACTAACTCTCTGGTTCCACAGAAGATACAGTAGAATGAAGATTCTGTGTTTTGGTGCTTTCTTAATTTTTCTGAGTTAGAACGTGTAAGACGCCTCTTGTAAAAATCAATGTTCTTTTTCACTGCATCTGAACATATGGGGTGGGTGAGGGAAGATTTAAAAATATATATATACACTATAAAAAAACGCATTATACTCCCCCTTACCCTTTTTCTTTCTCCCACAAGCCTGAGTCTAGTCATCATTTGTTGGCTGATCTATTGCAAGGGTCATAGCAGAGGTGTGTCTTGAGGAGGGTGTTGAAGTTGACAGTGCTTGCTAACACTTCAGCTGATTTCTCAAAACACAAGTATGGAGCATTCCATTATACTAAGATGTGGTTATTTTGAAATAAATCTACATCAACTGTCTTGGTATGTTGCAAAAATAGAACAAAAACAAACAAGATGACCAGGAGTTTTGAGATTATATATAAACAAACACAATAAAACATGTTTTATGATTAAAGAGAACTACCCATTTACAGTGAATTTGTGCAAGATACAACAAAATTTACAAATTTAATCTGAAAATAGTACCTCTGCTGATGGATTATCAGGAAGGTTTTTCATTATTTCAAACTCCAATTTGTGTTGAACGTAATCCAGATCAGATTCTGCCTTCTGGAACTAAAACATTGAAGATCAACCACAATGTATTAAATAACAAAAACAGACAAAAAGCATAGTCATCTATCACTCTTTCCTGCACTAACAAAACAACCAACAACAAAAAAAACCCAATACCCCACCCCTACCCCCAGAAATCAAGATGTTTCAGTTTGAAAGACTGATGTACTATAAGCAAGGAGCTGTTCCCCCCACTTACTAATGTTTGTAGGTTATTCCAACCTTCTTATATACACACCAAAGAGTAAACTTGCAAACTCTTTATAGTCAAAGTAATTAAAGGTAAGTAGCCTTAAAGCAATTAGCTAGATAAGAACTTGACAGGCAATGAGAAGTAGTGGCCAAGAAGGTCCTTGAAAAACTTACAAGAGCAGACAGTCTACAGCATTTTCTTGCATTATCTGATAGTTGAGCTCACTGCTCTTCACAGTGAGAGTGTTACATATTATACAGTAAGCCCCTGTTGCCAGTATGTAGTTTAGACAAAGGAAAATAGTGACCCAGAATTGAGAGGGTAAATTAAATTTTTTTTACATCAGTCAAACCAGGGTAACATTCTATGACCTGTCATAAGGACATGCATTCATCTGTGGCAATCTCTCTTTGGGTACACTACCACATGTATAATATAGCATGTAGCATGCTGTACCATTTAGAACCCATTGAAAAAGACTTCTCAAAACAGGAGTTTTTTTTTCCAAAACATTCTTTAAGGACAAGTCAGCTGCAATCAATATTACTTATCTGTAATTTGAGTTTAAGGAAGGCCCATTTCCTCCATAGAGCTGGAGGAGACCTAAAAAGGACAAATGTACTTTAAACATAAAATTAGTTTCTTTACTTGTATTTTTTACTTCCACAACTAGGACCAACTGCTCTGGCAATTACTTCTGGGAAGTAACCAGCAGTGCAGGAACATCCTCAATAAACAGGGAAGGGAAGGAGGAGGAAAAGAGGAGAAAAACTGAAACAGAATCAGCTACATTATCCAGAGAAACCCTCAAAACAAGCTCAAAACAGGTGATCCCAAAACAGGCAGGAACCATGTTTCCTTATTCATTTTTTTATATATTATACGCACCACACACACACGTCTTCGGTTTTATTGTAATGCATGGAATTTAGAGCTAACGGAAGGACTTTGCGTTAAAAGAACTGCAAGCAGGGAAAGAACATCTTACAGTATTTGATCAACAAGAATACAGAGATCATCCTGCTTATGTCTTTCTGCTTACAAAGCCAGAGAACAGAATTTCCTTTCAGTTGCTCCTGATTTGGAAAATATGAAATCAGGACTGGTTAGATTTATATTTAGTTTTGTTCAAAGTAGATTTTGAGTCCTGACTACAGATGGTATATGAAGTTGTTATTCCAACCTGTTTGAGGACTCTGGGATATATCAATAAACAAACAATCAGAAGGTGGTTTGACAACCACCTTGTCTGGAAGAAACTGCATGTAAAACCCTTTGATAAAGAGGGCTATTATATTAATACAAGCCTCTTGGTGGACCCAATGGCCAGTGCGAAAGAGATTTGAGATTAAGAAAATATGGCAATTTTTCCACTGCAGGTTTAAGAGGTGCCTTTGTTAGAAATACCCCATTTAGGCTCCATTATATGGCCTTAGATTTCTGAAAGGAGGCTCCTGAGAAAATGCAAAGTGGAAAGAAGATATATGGGGATTCAAAAGAAAATAGAAGGAACTTGGTGCACTGTACTTTACGTGGACCATTTGGGGTGAAATCATGACACTAGTGAAGGCAAAGGGAGTTTTTCCATTAACTTCAGTGGTGCCAGGATAACTCTTGGACTTTCAGAAAATTCAGGCTCAGCTCTTATGAGAATTATTCAGTAAGAAGTCTTTCATAACACACTTCTGAGATCAGTGGATGTGGGCTGAATACCCAGAAGCGGTGACCAGAGTTCTAGATACTGAAATAAATGGTGTATATACACAGGTATTCACTCATACAGTAGGCCTACAGTAGTTTATTGTTGACTTTGCTTTTCTGATACAGTAGGTTTTGAAGGATCTAGGGAAGATTTTTCTCTTCGAGAACTTACTTTATCGGATATCACAACTACTGTCAGAGGAAAAGAGTTCTCTTGCAAACAATATCAGAGAAAATAGTTTTCAATTCTGACTAAAGTCAGAGAAATGACTGAAGTCATTGAGATGTTGATATTTATTCCAGGAATTTAAAATTAAGATACAGTGGATGTTCATAGTTTGGTAACTTCTCCCCCAATAGTATTGTTTGTAGAAGCATACTTCCCTGCTTTCTTAGATTATTTTGGTGAAGTTAGAGGTTTAGATGTTATGATAGAACAAGGGCTTTCTGTACTCTTCTAAAAATTTATATTTAATAATGAAATATGAAAGTAAGGCTGCTATTCTCGATCACTTCCACTGAACCTTTCAAAGCTCCAAGAATTTCTTACAACTAAAAACCCATTGCAATTCTCCCATTAAGTCAAGGAAACTGTTAAAGTATTAACTTCAGCTGAAATTTCTAACTGTTTACATTATGTACTGACAAGATGCATTGTAAACTTCTTTTGATTTTTAAACACATTTTGTATGTTATCGTCAGTTCAACAGCCTTTTTGGTGTTAGCATTCATTATATGTAGACAGCAATCACAAGAGCTTTTCTGTAACTTTCTATTCTTTAAAGGAAATCTAATGTACAAAGTGATCCACCTTTAACTGACATCTTATTATGCAGAGCTTTCTTTGAATGACTGAATGTTATGACAAATTTAATAAATATTTTAAGTGTATAAAGGATAGGTTTTCATAGTGATGACTTATTTCATAGAGACTTATACACAGCTGCCACCGATATTAGTGAGACTTGACAGCAGCTAAGTCCACACATCTAGCTTGAAATGTTACCCTACATTGTCTACAATTTCAAATGAGTCCAAATATTGTAGAAAAAGAAAGTGACAATCAAAATATTGTATTAGTAGAAACAGGCAGGTAACACATCCAACATCGGCTGCTAGGATAATTGTGTTGCCACAGTGAGTAACCACACTAGAAGAGTTTTTTAGGCTACCATCAGATACCCTGATGAGCTAGAAACGTTCTATTCAAGTAGAATCCCCACTTCTCCTTATTTTCCCTTACTCCCTTTATCTAACCCACTCCACACACCTACTCTTTCCTTCCTCCTGCTCTTGTCTTTGTACAGTCTTTCACAATTACCTGAATTGCCCACTGTGTGGAACCAGCAATTTCTTACTACACCAAACACACACCTTTTCTTAATTCACATCTCTCAAGGTGAAGTTCTTCTGTGGAGCTTTATAATGATAATCTAAAGTGTGAAATTATATCAAAAAAGCAAAGAAAACACCTTTCAAAAACTGGACCTTGCCTGATCCATTCATGTATTAGGCACCTGAATTTTATTGTGTTATGTAAACAGTAAATCCTTTGTGAAAGACACCGTCTTCCATGCATGATACAGCCTGTTATTTGTACTTGTAAATTTGACATTCTAAAAAAAGTGACATTTTAGTATTGAATGTATATAGGACAGAAGTGCCACAACAAAACTAGCACATCCATAAAGAAACATCTCTACCTAGGGCTTGCCTACACTTACAGCGCTGCAGCAACACAGCTACATCACAGTTGCACTTAGTGAAGACACTATATAAGGGCTGGTCCACACTAACCCCCCCAGTTCGAACTAAGATACGCAACTTCAGCTACGTGAATAACGTAGCTGAAGTCAAAGTACCTTAGTTCGAACTACAAGGTACTTACCGCGGGTCCACACGCGGCAGGCAGGCTCCCCCGTCGACTCCACGTACTCCTCTCGCGGAGCAGGAGTACCGGCGTTGACGGCGAGCACTTCTGGGATCAATTTATCACGTCTAGACAAGACACGATAAATCGATTCCAGAAGATTGACTGCTTACCTCCGGGTTCAGCGGTATGTATAGACATACCCTAAGCCACCTCTCCACCTCCTTGAGAGGGGGTAGCAATGTTGACAGGAGTAGCCCTCCCATTGATGTCGCGCAGTCTACACCAGGGGTTAGGTCGGTAAAACTACGTCGCTCAGGGGTAAGATTTTCCACACTCCTGAGCAACGTAGTTTATTATACCAACAAAAGTTTGTAGTGTAGACCAGGACTTGATAATGTAACTGTATTTAAGAGTCAGTCACTGCTGCTTCAATCTTACATATGCTATTACATGAGTTTGTTACTAGGACATTAAGGGCTGAATCCAGCTCTTCTATTACACTTTTTGTTTTGTTTTTTGTTTTGAAAGATTGTTACTTGAGTAAGCCAATACAAGAAGTATTTTCTTACAGTAACATTGCTAATTTTATTATTTGCTTAGAGACTAAATATTTGGTAGCTGACATTCAAATGTAAGACTTTACTAATGAAACAAAAATATATATTATATATTTTATTTTTCTTTCTAGTTAAAGGTGTTAAATCTTCTCCATCAATTTCTACAGCTCTCTCAGCCTGGTCACTGTCCTTTCTCAGTACTAAAAAAAAAACTATTAGCAATAATGTGTAAACAGCTGTGAGTAGAGACTATCAATGACATTTCAGGATCTGGTTATATCAGATTTTATTTTTGATTATACTAAGAATGTGTCCTCTTGTTTGATCAAGATACTCCCAACAAATTTAATTATTCCTTGATAAATCAGACAGATAAGTGGATAATCAAACTGATGACATCACCAACACATTTCACGCAATTCTTTTCTTGGGATAAATGAGCCACTAGGGAATTCGATAATTGCCCTGTGAAATAGGTGATAAGATTATTGCTTAATTAACTTTCATCTGCCATTTTTATGTCTATTAGGGATTTCTGGTTTACAGAAAGGCAGTGTGCCCAGTTCACTAAACTAAACACTATGAATTTCTTCATATAATCATTTGGGATTATAGTTGAGAGAGACTGTTTTGAACGTAAAATAAATATTTATAGAATTAATTTAACTCAATGTGGTTTTCACTGTTTGAACTGACATTTAACTCTATAGCAATAATTAGACCATTTGAAATGACCAAAAAAATGTGATGCACTAATGCAACCTAACTTCCATTGACTTCAATGGATTTTGGGTTAGGCCCATATTTAGGTAGTTAAGTATATCCAATTATCTTATATTGATAGAAGATTGCTCCACACAAAATAATGGAAATCACAAGATCTTTGCCCATTTATATATTTTACACACACACACACACACACACACACACACACACACACACACTATT